GGTGCCGATGAGCTCCAGTGTTGTAGAAGTGGCGAGAGAACAATGTGAGGACTTTTGGTCCTTCAAACTACCCATTTGGACAATTCTTACGCTTCTGGAAATGGCTCCATTTCCATGATGACCAATCTTGAAATCAACCGCGGTCGATGTTGAACGGCAGTGCCTCCCTGACGAGTCTATGGGCGAGGAAGACTGCTACATTAGGCTTTATAAACCCTGCCTATCGAATTGGGTTCTGATCCCGGGCTAGAACTAGCATTTCGGCATTATCATTTTCAGCAGATAAGCAAACCACTGAATCTACATTCTACAGATTCGATTTTGGACCACTGTTCAGGGCGAGCTGCTTATTCGTGTTGAATGAAAACTTATAATTCGAAAACCTAGTACAGAGCGTGGCAATTTTCATGTAGAAACGTCCAGGCTTCTGCTCGATACCTGAATGTCCGCACGATTCACGACTAGTGTGCGGACTTTCGTACCGATCGCCCATGTCATAAATAGGGTTGTAATTGCCAAGATACAATTTCCCGTAGCCACGTATTGAAGATGGGTGGAGGATTGCGGATATCTCGGATTCGGTTTGCCGCATAGGACTTGGCGAATGATAAGCCAGCTAAATCATCAGTAATCATTAAACGGATTACTCGATCCTGAATCTCAGCTGACACATCACTGCGGGTCACATCACATCAAGGAGTGTGGAAAGCCAAGCTCCTTGACTGGTTAGAGAGCGGGTGATGTCTTAGCCGACAGCGGGTCATAGATTAGCCTGCATCACGCAATACAGTCGCGACCATTATAGCGAAAACAGACGGCGCGTTGAGCAAGGTATATAAAACAGAACGAGAGCGACTGTCTAACCTACGTATGAATGAGTTCTTCAAGAGCCACTTGTTTCTCAGCTGTACCCGCTCAAAGGGTTGTCGTCTCGTTTGTGGTGCATGTAGTCCATGGCTTGGCCATCTTCACCTCGTCGATCCGGTCCCGCGGCCCCAAAAACCTTCTCATACTCTCCCATCTCCGTGCTTATGACATTGCACTCAGCTCCATTTGGAAAGATGAAAAGGCGCACTAGCAGTCCTTTGACTTTATAGTTGTCTGGTGGCAAGCCCAAAGGAGGCCGCATCTCCTTTACGTCGTCCGGATTGGACTTTTGCCGCATGATGCTCAACGCCTCCATCCACGTCCCACGGCACATATGAGGACGCTGCAGCGCCAGGACGAACGGTGTGTTTCCGAGGAAAGTATCCATCTTGCCAGGGTCTAGACCTATATCCTGGAGATCCATCCGCCAGGGGCGACATACTTCGCGGCACTTCATCACAGCTGGTAAGACATAGTACTCGGCGCCCCTCATTCTAGCTTCAAATGCAAGACTTTCAAAGGCCAGCTGCAGCCACTCTAGCTTCTTGGAACTCAGCAAAATGCCCAGGAATCCGTCCAAAGATTCGACCATGGCATCTGAACGGACCGGCCACATATGGAGACTGCCGCTGTCAACATCTTCCAACGCGAACATCGGCCGCCGAGGTAGGGTCCACAGGCGGAGAAACTCAAGGTCTCTCATCAGCTCTCTCGTGTGCTCTCTAGCTTCTGGTTCTTCCGGGAAAAGCCCCTTAAAGTCGTTGGGGGGTGTGATGTCCATATACAAGACCTTTAAATGGACACCTAGCTTTCCCAGTGCTGAGAGAAGCTTTCCGAGAGCGTCCACAGATGGATTGGGCCTTGAAAGAGTTCCCGCCAAGCGGTCCCATTCCATGGGAGTCGTGAGAAGTTCCAGTAGGGACTGGTAACTCATTGCTTCGCCTGAATCAACATACTTGTCCCTCCAGTCATTGGCCTCGTGATTGTAGTCGTATACGTCCAATCGAAGTGCTTTCGGTAGGCGTGCGAATGCTTCCGCGACTCGTCGAACGAAGTGGTCCCCATTCATGAGCCCTTGATACTCCTGATATTTCAGCCTGTAGAAGCTGTATGCCTCCCACAGCACTGTTTCGCGCCTCATTTCAGCGGCTGCAGCTCGGGTTGGCTGTTCCCTCAAGGCAAATTCTCCGACTTCGGGGGTGCTGATGATCTTGTGTATCCTATCAAACAGACTCAAAAGTCTGTCGTTTTCTTGTGCGGAGAGGATGTCTACAACAGGTGTAATTCCGAGACCCTCCGGTTCTCTTGCAGATATTCCCCAGAACAGCGTCGTGAGTGCATAATTAGCAAACATTACGGGATCTTCCGCGTGGATTTGAGAATAGTGGCCCATGACAAGCTGGACGCGTTTTACGCTTTTGCTGAAAATTTCGTGTCTTGATACCTCCTCCAGGCGCGTGAGGGACTCTATTGTGGGGCTGATCGTCATGGACGGTATCAAACGCCGTGTAGATAATTCGTTCAGCTTGTGGCAAGTCAGACGGAGTGCCTTCATCGTGTTGAGTTCTTTCTCGTCCACTATGTAATCGGTGACGATGTAGTTTGGATGATCCACGATGTTGGAATGATCTTCGCAGTGATCAATGATTCTTTCGACGATCTCGGTCGGGAGATCGTTCATGCTCAGCTTCCGATCAAGCGGACGTCTATTGATTATGGAACGGATGTAGTCGTGGCGTTGGAGCATTCTTGTAGAGAGAAACACTTGAGGTTGTCGGGCTGCCACTTGCTCGAACGAAAGGACACGCGCCCTAATGACTTGGTCGCCTACATGGTATCGTTTGATCGGCCAGTCGTCATGAAGGTGACGGAGTACTTCGTCCAGATCCGCCAGGTGCTCATGAAGTGTGCCAAGATCGGAGTTTTCGAAGGCGTTTAGGTCGAGGTCGCAAAGCTGCTTCCCGCGTTCGGCAATTTCCCGCTGAGTCCATCTCTTGGTACCCAACTTTGACTTGGGGATTCTGCCTTGTGGGAAATCGTCATCAGGCCCTTCCACCCTTGCTTCGTATCCCTCTTCTGCATCTATCCCGTCGATCCACTCAGGGATGTCGAATTTGAACGCAGACATTTTGGAACTTTTGTAGGGCAAGAGTCATCCAGGACTGAATATATGCGCAGTTCATTGAGTTGTGTGAGTTGAAAATGAAGGAATTGCTGAGCCAGATGAGACTAGTCGACCTTGAAGTCAAAAGGTGTCATTTAGACGGCGGCGAGGTTGAACGCGTCATTTGGGTCAAGCCAAGACAAGGGTTCAGGCCATCATGTGGGCCTCAGGGGCATCGTCGCCTCTGACATCCAGGGGGCCGGGGAAGTAGTCACGTGATCTAAATCGTCTCACGTCCTCACCGCTAGGTATTTGACTTGATTCTCCTTAGTACATACCATGCAGTAGAAGGGGCGTGCCGAGGTAATGAGGCAAAGATGGGAGGGATGAAGGGGGGCTCTTCAAAGCCGTACCTCTGTCTAGATTGCCAATTTTTGACAGATTGAAAGAAGTCATCTTCTCTGAAGGAATCAGCATTGCTCATCAAAGCGAATATGCATAAATGTGTCGGATTTTACATCATGCATTTATCGATAGTGGGTGTCGCCTGGGGCTAAGTCATGAGGCTTTGATGACATATTTGGCCAATCCAGTGGGTGTCTGCCGAGGAAGTCACCAACATCTACTAAGCACTCCATCGCATAACTAGAGACTGGATGGCAGATAGAGACGTGGGTATCTGGATGACAAATTGGTCAAGGAGGGGAGCCAAGAACGATGCCTTGAGTATAAAAGCTCGAGGAGGATTAGAGCTTGAGCTCTCCGCAACACAACAGACAAAGCAATAGCTTTTCACGCAACAATTTACAATTGTCTTTTGCACTCACTGAGAAGAAAACAAGATGTCTTCCACCCGCACTGCTCTCGTTCTCGTTGACCCCTACAATGACTTTCTTCACCCCGAAGGCGCTCTCACGCCCCATCTCCTAGACCTCCAAGAGAAGGGCACGGTTGAGAACATTAGGTCCGCCGTCGCCGCTGCTCGCTCGAAGGGCATTCCGATCTACTACAGCATGCATCAACAGTGCAACGAGCACACCTTTCTTGGATGGAAACACATGACACCAAATAATCTTAAACAGAAGAACTCGCAAGTTTTCAAGGAAGGATCATGGGGCGCCGAGATCCTTCAGGGCCTTGAGCCGGATCCGTCCGAGGGCGATGTCGTTGTTAGTCGGCATTGGAATAGCGAGTAAGGTCTTCCTATCCATCGCACATGTATCAAGCGTCTAACGAGAAACCTCATGAAGCTCTTTCGCGAACACTGATCTAGACTTTCAGCTCCGCCAACGCGAGATCACCCATCTGGTTTTCGCGGGCCTGACGGCAAACACCTGCCTGGAGGCCTCCGCGCGTCATGCCTTTGAATTGTGAGCCCCGCTTTCCCGTCCGTCGTACTAAATCAAGCTAACAAGCCAAGGGGGTATCACGTCACTCTATTGTAAGTATTCTTGAATGTCAAATCATGCATGAGCGGAGCACGGAAAGACTAATGTTTCCGCAGGAAAGATGCTACGGCCGGATGGTCCAAGGAGTTGACAGACGCCGCGACGGAGCTGATCTGGCCCCTGTTCGCCCAGCAGGTCTTGAAAACGGGAGAATGGGTTCAGAAACAAGCGGTCAAAAGCGTCATTTAGGCCGCCTACATCGAACAGCGGAGAGGATACTCCGCCGTTATGCCAGTTGATGAACCAAGAGCAACGTTGGCCTTGAATAAGCATGTACTGTGTAGATGCGCCGTAACCTCCCCTGTGTAGTTTTCGAATATGGGTCGTAGACGCTCCACGGTGTGACCAAATTTGTCAGCATCCTCTGCGTTGGCGGCAGTCTCCCCGCCCTCCAACTCCAAATTGGTCAGCAAGCAGATGCCCCAGTGCACGAGGAACTCAAGCCGGTCGGGAGAGACCTTGATCCAGAGGAAATAACTCACTGAAATTTACCCAAGAATACGCCAGGGAAAATCAAGCGGTTCACCGATCATCGGACATACACCCCTTTTCATCGCATATCAAATGCTAATCATGTTCTCTTATTGCGCTGTTCGACTTGTCGTCACCAAACCGGCTGAGCGAGTGGTTTGGATGCCGGTGAACATTTCTTCTAATTTCCACCCCAAAAAATGTCGAGCCTCGGGATCAGTAATCTTTCTGATGCAGTACTGGATTTGTAGGTTGAGAACGGACTGATCCAGCGGTGAAGTTGACGGAGTAGTCCGCACGAGCGGGGTAGGTGCATGTAATTGCATGATATCAGCTTGCTAAATTTGTCAGCAAGCCAGCTCGTCCCGAGGGCAATCCTCTCCGTGGAGAATTTTGCCTGCCGCCGAAAGCGCTGAACAAAGTGATGCTATTAGATGGAAAACGTGAGGAGTATTAACTTTGGTATCATCCGAAGCAATGTTAACATCTGCAGGGCACATGAAAGAAACGAAGCAAAACGTCATAGTTCGTAGAGCGTTCGCCTTCCCATGATTACGATGCGGCTCAAGGGGCCATGTACACAGTTGAATGGCGAGAGCCTTGCTGCATGTTTGGATATGGTCTATATCATGGCAACTTCTCACACCTTCATCCAAAATTGCCCGCCCTTGCTCCTTCTCTTAGCTTCCCTGGCCGCAAACATGAAGACCGTGCCTGGAGTCAGACAGCACCCAGAAAATACCTGTCCTCCCAGGTACTGTCCACCCAATGCAGACACAAGCGCGCCCCCAATTGGAGGCCCTGACAAGACCGAGAAACTGACTATCGTAAACATCATGCCGATTCTTGTGTCCTGTTTGCTAGGATCGGCTGTCAAAGAGGCCAGTGCGGAAGGAAACACCGCCTGGATACCTCCCAAGATGATCCCGCTTATCGCAGCCCATGCGTAGAAGGCACTCTTTGTGTCCGCTGCAAGCCAAGTGAACATGATGAGACCACCAGCGCCGGCTGTCGGTACGAGCACTGTCAGGGCTCCGATGTGGTCGGCCAGATAGCTTGGTAAAATCCGGCCGACGATCCCAACGCCGCTCATAATCATCAGGACATCCAGCGACGATGTGTAAGACATACCCCGGATATCTCTGCCGTAGGCGGCAGTGAAGAAGAAGACAAAGTAAGATCCCCAAAAGCACTGAGACTATGCGTTAGCAAGGTTTCGGGGACTTTCGCAGCAGGTCCATGTACCAGAAACATTCCTATACCATAGAAGGTGCACTCCAATTCCTTGAACGCTCCCCACTCAACTAGTTGCCCCGTTGTGCGAGGCGGAAGACGGGGTCTCAAGGATAGCTACGCGATGGTCAGAGCCACGAGCTGTACAAGTCCAATTGCTCTCATCGTCCAGCCAAACCCTACAAGTGGGAGCAGCTGGCGCACGATAGCAGGATAGAGAACACCTCCTGTCGTGCTACCGCACGCCGTGAAGCCGATGGCTAAGGATCGTCTTTTCTGAAAGTAGGTTGAGACGAGAGCGATGGTCGGGCAGAAGAGACAGCCGTTCCCAAGCCCGACGTATACTCCCTGAAATAAGAATATTTGCCAGTATTGGGTCGAAAATGAAGTGGCTATGCTGCCAAGAACAACCAAGATAGAGCCTACAAGGGCAACTGGGCGAAAGAGTCCGGCGTCAGTGAGACGTCCCGTGAAGGTACCGATGAAGAAAAGAAGGAAAATCTGGATTGATCCAATCCAAGAATTATCAGAAGGAGGTCGTGGCAGCGTCTGAGCGTAGTGGCTTTGAAAGACGCCAAAGGAGTTGATAACTCCCCTACAATTGTTAGCTTCCTTGGGCTACAAGATGGATCAATTGAATTTACCAGGTGTTCATCACCACCAAGTGCGTCCCAAGTACTACATCATAGGTCAGCGCTTGTTGTTTATGCAGCTGTCGGAAATCCCCACCGCAAAGCCACGCCCAGCGACCCCCGTCAGGAGGCGGCCCTGGCGTAGTGTTTGAAGAAGTTGTGATGTGACTCAACACTCGGTTCGGTAGACTGGTCTGTCTAGAGTTTATCGGTATCACAACTTCTTCGGAAGTGCCGCGTTGTTGGGCGGGCTCCTCATTCATCAGGTCAGACGGGGCCGTGATGTACTGAGATCTTCGCTTCCCAGCTTGTCCGACATCGTTGGTTCGTTTTTCTGCCCCATCGATTCGATCATAAGGGAGATCAAGAACGTCTCGGGAATTCAGCTTTCGTACTGCTGCTTCTCGGTGTTGGATTTTGCTTGATGGCTGCCGAAAGTTGATGAGTGCCATGAACTAACGGTGGTGAAGGCAATAGGGGGCCTGGAGTTGCGTACTTATCTTGTCTTAGGTGAAAAGCCAACTATGTTCCCAACGAAGACATTGGATCAGAAAGTCCCTGCTGAAGCGTGTGTTTAAGATGTATAGATCAACTGGAAGTGATAAGGCAATAGAGGAGCAGGGCTACTGCATGGCCCCTGGGATGGCCCAAAGACAGAGTCAGACTCTCGGCGACATATCTAAGCTTGCCGACGTCGGGTACTCGTTCTTTGCACATCACTCGTCTTTCTCATTGTAATTTGCCGGCAGTATTCCTCGGGAAAAGCGCGATCAACCCGGTCTGGTCAGCAACTGCGTGCCAATTGTCATTGCATGGTCAAATTGGTCAGCAATCTCGGTCAAGCAAATGCGCCCTTCCTGGGTACGTAGGACGAAGTCGACGAGCAAGTGGAGTTACCCCTCTTTCAAATTGGTCAGCAACCACCTTGGCATGACGAGGACTCTTCCGATGTCCTGCAGCAGAATCTTCGTACACCTGAGACACTCGGAGCATTTTGTGACGGGTACAGAAAGAAACAGTCTGATGTTTGGCTGAGCCTTTCACAGACGATTTCATTACTTCGTCTCGAGCCATGGGGCCTACTCCCCTATCAAGCTAGACAGCTTCCGTTTCCACTCCTGCAACGTTCTATTCCGCTTCTCTAGCTCCTCCTTGGCTCTCCCTAGTTGCGACTCAAGTCCCCGATTCTTGCGCTCCAGTTCCCCCTTCTCACTCTGCTCCGCCTCCCTCTCCGCAGCCTCTGCCCTCAGCCTCTGCACCTCAGCCTGCAGGTTTGCGGTCTTATTCACTGCGGTCTGCATCATGGTCATCTCATTTCGCTGCATGCTGATCACCTGCTGCAACCGCTTCGTCTCCGCCTCCAGCTCAGAAACCTTGGTCTGTAGAATGGGCACGCTTTCGAGCTCACGGTAGACGACCGCTATTGCAGAGTCGACTTCTGCAGGCAAGGTAGTGAAGCGTGATTTCCTGACTGGTGGATTCCGTGATCGAGCCGCTCTGGTTTCGGATAGCTCTGCCGATACCAGTCTGGCTGGCATGACGGATGGTTCTGGGAGCGCGGGACTTGGATCTAGACTTGTCGAATGCTGTGTCGCTTCTGAGACACCTTCAGCTACTTGAGGGACTTCTATGCGCCGAGGAGAGCTTGGGGGAGTTATAATGGGAGGGTTCCTATGCCAATCACGATCAACGCACACGGGACAATACCAAAGCCTGTCGTCTCCGTGAAGCGCTTGAGAGCTCCTTGGGGGTTTATGTGCATCGTGATACGACCTTCGGCACGTGTCGCAGGGAACCAGATTATCAGGCTCCCGGCATACGAAACAAAAATCATCATGCTGACCCCCAGATTCTTGGTGCAGTCAGTCAAAGTGCTCAGCGCTGCAGACTAGATTCCCAAACGCACTTTTCCAGGCTTTGTAACGCGCCAAAGGCGATAGAAGCCGTGTATCTAACATTTCTGCTACAGTGATTGTATTTGCAGCTTCAACATACATCCCTAGACTAGGCGGGGGGCCCGATGGCGATAGAGAGCGCTGACTGCGCGTCGGGGCAGCTTGATGCGTCCGAGCCCGTTTCGCAGGTCGTCCGCTTCGTCGTGGGCTACTTGCTTCTCGCGGGGGAGGCATCCTGACGAGAAATCAGTCTCATAAGTGTATGAGTGTGCTGATGTTGGCTTCGCGGTGACAATGATCTTCAATCTTGAGGAGCGCCGCGCCGAGATTTCGAAAAAAAAATGACGGAAGCTGATTAGTTTGAACAAAAGCAGTCACGTGAGTCTGTCCCAAATTTGTCATCAAACTGGTTGCGGATGGTGAGAAGGTTCATAAGAATTGAAGATGGGATGAACTCTCTATGAGCAAGGAAGCTGCTGCATGCAATATTTATTGCAAACAAATATGAATTGAAACATTCTTTTGAACAAGCCGAATAATTTCTAAATCCTTCGCCGGTCGCAATGAGGGACGATCTAGCGTTGCCACAAATCACCAGCACATTTCGATGAGGGACATATGCAGACCTGGGTCACACCGATCAGAAAGAAATGGATATCTAACCTAGTCAAAGTAACAAAAACGAATTTAAACACAAAAATGCCATATGGCTCAGACAGTAGGTTGTGCACCCTCCAGCTGTCAACACCACCCGCGGGCGGAACCCTCCCACATCCAACACAAACAAAGTCTGAGCCATTTTTAACCCCTGCCAGTGACCATCAGATGAAGTACGCGGACACATAAGACGTGTTGGATGCTGCATGAACCCCCCCTCCCTGTGCCTTTTTACTTCTCATTTAATCGGTGAAATCATTTTTTGGGACCGTCATCCGTAGACCTCGATGAGGAGGTCGTTCTGCTGCTCTCGGCATAATCCTTAAGAATCTTGGATTCCTCCAACGTCTTGCGCTTGTCGTACTCGTCAAGCAGCTTGTACGTGGTCTCCAAAGGCAGCTCTGCCATCTTGTCTCTCAGTTCCTTGGGCAGAGGTTAGTACAACGCAGCTATTGTGCCAGGGTAAATGAGATGCAAACTCACCAGGGGGAACACGTTGGATGGCTTGTATCTGAACTCGTCAATCAGACGGTTCAGGCGAAGCATCTGCTTCCACGTGACAATGATGTCGCCGACCAAAAATGTCGGGAAACGGGCTGAGGAAATTTCTTCGAGGATCCAGCGGCGCTGGAAATACTGGCGGAGGACAAAGTCCGTGGCGCCGACCCAGTGAGGCGCCTTGTCCGGGTCCGAACCGTCGGTTGGCGGCGTCCAGATCCAGGAAATCTTCTTGATCCATTCGTGGTGCGGCGAGTAGTTGTGAGGGTTCTTCTCCGCGTCGCCCGGATCTCCCCACGTACGCGGCATGACTTCGTCGATTTCTGCAACCATCGCGAGACCCGCGTCTGTGTGCTCCACCGCCTCACCTACCCAGCCGACGACCAACGCCGCGGCCTTGTAGATCGTCTTCATGTCCGTGTGGACGCGCGACTTCTCATACTCGTCGCGCGGGTTCACGCACAGAAAGTCGCACCAGATGCGCAGCGCCCAGTTCGCGTCGTCCGCCCCCTTGGAGGACGAGCCCAGGCCGAACAGCTGCCTCAGCCATCGCGGCGCGCCCGACTGCGGCCGGCGCGGCGATGTGCATTGGAAGCGCTGCGTGAGTGTCGGGTAGAGTACGGTGCGCACATTCTTGAGCGCCTGGGTGAGATGGGCGGTGAGGGTGACGGGCTGGCCGCCAACGAAGATTTTGTCTGTCTCGGTGGAGTCGCCGTACAGCGACGAGAGGGCGATAAACTCCAAATCGTCAGTCAGACGAACATGGACAAGACGGGCCTGAACCGGATCGTTGGGATTGTGCGTCGCCTGGATCTCGAGCAGGCGAATCTCGCGCCTAGACGAATCCAAACGCCTGTACGGAATTCCCATGGTCCTTCTTTTCCAACAAGACGGACAAAGAAGGCAGAAATCCCCCTGAAAAGCAGCACCAGAACGAAGTGCCGGCGTTTATACCAAGAATGAGCGAAAGCGGACCCGGCTGGTCGGCCATTGGGTTCTGGGGTGCGCCATCGGCTGCCAACCTCGCTTGAAATTGAGTTTTCGAATGACAGGGGGTCAAAGGAGAAGCCGTCCGTATCCACTGATTGCGCGACATGATTGGTGTTTCTGCCCCGTCTTCAACGGTCCTGCAGCGTTTCTAGAATCCTGGCGATTCATAATCCCAGGCCCGGCCTGTTCATTTCCTGCGCTTGTGCTGCGTTCGTGACCCAAGACAACCCCCTTTCGCCCTCGTTGATAACCAATCGTCCACCTGGTGGGCTCCCAACAGTCTGAGCGAGGTTCGCAATCTTTTCGGCTCCACTTCTCATCTGCATAAATAGTCCAGGACACCATGGCACAAGGAGCCTCTCGTTTGGATTCTTCAACACGGCTCTGGGGTGCTTCAAACCCCACAACGCGAACGGTGGTCTGACTGATTGGTCTGCGCCTGGCTGGTTCGGTCGCGTGGCCGTCACGAGCTGCAGCCAACGATCCATCAGGAGTAGCGGTATTCGGCGTCCCCCTGTTCGGTACTCGGTGGCCCCATGTCTAACAAAAAAACACAAACACGTGTACATCTCAGAATCACAAGCGGCTAGAATCACCGTGATCCTTAGCCCTAACCGTACCTTGCCCTCTTAATCTGTAACCCCCTGACCTGACGTATCTGTGAGAACACTTTGAGCAATTTTCCCGAGGATTCTCGAATTTCTGTGGATTTCAAAACGGCCGCATCTTGATTGGGAACGTTAGTGTGGATAGCTGGGTATCCTTGGGTTGGGTGGGCGACCGCCGCGGCGTATGTATGCACGCGTCGTTTTTTTCGGTATTGGATTCCTTGGCCTTCCTGAATAGGCTTGAGGTGGTGCCCAAGACTGAAGAAGCAGACAGGGGTTTGCCAGATACCGCTACTCTTCCAGAAGTTCAGCTGACCAACAACTTGTCGTAAGTGGATTTGCTGCCACATACACGTACATGGAGCGGAAAAGCGCTTCGGCATATGGGCTGGGGATGTGGCACAATACGTCGGAGTGGCCCCACTCATGCTGCATTCGTAGATCACCAGGGTGCAGCGAGGCAGAGATCTCAACAATGATAAAGCTCCCGACCGCGCAGCGGTCTCCCGAATGTTGATGTCGAAATAAGGCTGGAAACCCAAATGAATGGAGAACACAGGGCCTGGGTATGTCTTGATTACTGAGCATCTACATGTAGCAAACTCGGTCATCATTCAATGCAATGGCATCTTGATTGCGTTTGATGCTTTACAATATCTCTGACGTCTTCA